AGCGCTCTCAATCTCACGTCCTTTCCTAAGGGTCTTCCCGGTTTTCTTCAATGTATCTCTGCTTTGGTGCATGTAAACCATCTCCTGCTATTTCAGAAATAACGTCCATGAAGCCATTCCTGTGATTCATGGGATGGCGGGTGCTGAGCCCTGCCGCAGAGTGCTCCCTTTGCTGATGCCTGGCAGGAGTTTCACCACGGTGCAGACTTTGGAGGCAAGGGCTCTGCGGCGTCTGCAAGTGACCCTGTGGTTAAAGTAGCTTCAGATAAACCAATCTAAGGATGCGATTTGCTATATTTTGACACAACAGAAAACCTTCCATTACCTGGTGGGTTTTCAAGCATCTGCTCTCTTGATTCCTGTACCTGTGATTTCTTTTTTTTGTTATGCTGCTTATGGACATATACAAGGTCAGGCACCAACTTTAAGAGCACGAATGCACAGTAGGAGAGTCCTTTCACAAAAGACTTATGCTCTCGCTAGACAAAACAAATGCAGGCTTAGAGGGGGAAAAAGGATTGTTTTCCCCATTTTATATAAGAAAAATGGAGGCAAAGAGACTTCCTCACAGTCATAGCAGTCCAGAAGATATCAGAGAATTGAAGCAAGATTGCTGAGACCCAAAACTCATGGTGGTTTGTTTCCCAAGGGGGTGTTGAGATGCGGAGATCTTGTAGCAGTTATTTTGCAGGAAAAACGCTAACAAACAATGATCTCTCTTTTACCCTCACTCAAATTGTGAGCCTCCAGCTTTTAGGAAAATGTTCTTGCTCTTAAAATGAAAATGTAGAGTGCGAAGGAGTGGAGGTGTCAGCTAAAGGTGAATTACTGGCAGGTGGCTTAAATTTCTCAGCTGGGTGAGGAGAGTTGTTGTGCTGGAGCAGAGAGTGCTTTGCTGCACTTTCTTTGGAAGCAAAGGCAGGATACCAGGATGGGCTGAACTGCCATTACGCTCGGCAGCGTGCCGAAAACCCCGCAGAAGGGAAGTTGAGCTGTTCTGTCTGTGATGTGTGGGCAAAGCGATACCTTGTGGAGGTGGAAACATATCCCCTGTGCTGCCCAAGGCCTTGCCAGTCATCTAGTTCATGAGCTTGTGGGAGTTCCGGTGCCACACAGATTTTTGCATCTGTACTCCCTGCCTTGTTTCTTTACTCTGATGCCTCCTCTTGAACTCTGCACAATATTTCTGCAAGGCTAAAGCACTGGTAGGGTCCCTCTTTGGCAGGCAAGAAAGGAAGCAACACAAGGGAATAAGTACTTTAGGCTTCCTATACAAAAATGCAAGAAGTATGTGTGTTACTGAAGGGTTTTCTGTCCGGCAACCCTGCTGTAGTTTAATTTTTCCACAAACGGTCTCAGCATCCAATGTTGGATGTTCGCCTGAATTGTAATCTTTCTAGATAGAAATTCAATCCTATGGTTTTGAAAACCAGCAATAGGTATGTTATGACTTTCCACAGTGTGATTTCTAATTTAAATAGTGAAAAAATAGCACGCTGTTTTATTTTTCCGATACAGATTTTTTTTTCAAGATGACAGTTAAATTTTGTACCTTAGACACAGTGTGGCATCTGGCCATGCATAAGGCTACATCCACAGGGGGCAAAAAATGTGCAGAATTGCCTTTTTGCTTCTCAGTCTGCAAGATGTCAGTGATAATTGAATTTAACTTTCATTAGGTTGACAAGAGGGTAGAACTGGACTGAGAAATTTAAAAGTATGACTTAAAGTAGAAGGTTTGCAACTTTCCCCTGCTATTTCCAATTAAACAGTTCATTGTTAAACAGGAAAGGTAATTCACAGAACATAAGAATAGACCTCCAGTGTAGACCATTTTTATTCTGCCAACGTCTGTCCTTACTTGCAGCCTACAGCAGATGATTTAGGAAGAATATGAGGACAGGGAAAGCTCTGTAGTTGTTACGAAACAGCCCCTCCAGGATATATTTTAGGACCTTAATTACCTGTAACTGATTTAAATCTTTCAACCTGTAGCAACGTGTTTCACATTGTTTGTGAACTGCATATTAACAGCCTCAAAACATGTCCCAGACTGTCATCTTCAACTGTGGATACCTCTCCGTTTCTTCCAACTCGTGTTTACGCTTTCCTAAATAGAGATCTGAGAAGCCTCCGTGGATGGATGTGAAACGGATATAGCCATATGCATGTTTCATAGCTTTCGCTTTAGCAGGTCTGATCTTGAAGGCTGAGGGTTCAAAGATACTGTGATGACAGGCCAAAGAGGTGTTTGCATGTTCCTAAAGTAAAATGGTGAAACAAATCCATAAAAGCCTAATACTTTCCTGATGTTCAGACAGGTGAGGACAGTGCAACAATGTTGGTGCAAGTCATTCCTCAGAGGGAATCTAAATCTCTATTTTAGTCATGTGTTGAAGAGAGAAAACATGTTTCTTTTATCTTTGTGTATGATGCAGATCCGTACTTTAAATCGAAACAAGCTAAGCACTGGTCTTCGATTCATTCCACCTCATTACTTCCGAATGTCTGACTTAGAATTTCTTTATCGAGACCCGAGTGTGCTGTGAAACTCGCCTGTTGTGAATCAGTGTCCTGGATTTGTTTGAAGTGACTTTCTTGCTCCAGTAGTATGAAGTATAGTATGAAAAAAACATAACCAGCTCTTTCTTTTCTTTAGGAAAGATTGTTTATCAGTGAAGAAAACGTTGATGCATTTCTAGGCACTGTTTTATGCCCTTCCTTTTGCTCCCAATCGGCACTGGAAAGTCAGCCGTTAATTGAAGTGCTTGATGTTACTGAGGACAGAATTCAAATCATGTTGAAGGTAAGGATCTCTCTGGCAGTAGTACCTATTGCTGACTGAATTATGTACTTCAGCAAGATTGTATCAAATCTGACTGAAACAGCTTTGTTCCTGTTTTGTCTTGATATAGCAGAGGAAACCGTGGAATAGGGTGTATTTGTGAGTATAAATGTCAGTTTTTGGAAACACAGGTTCACATTTGTGCCATTTAATGTGACCAAGGGATTGAAACCCCCTGTATTTCACTGGGAAGATGCAGAACTGCGATACAATCATTAAAGATGGTGCTTTCTCCATGGCATGCACACACTAAATTTCTCACTGGTATTAAAAGAAAAAAATGACTAAGTAACTGCCTAGTACCCCTCATTCAGAGGGACCCCAAGTGTTTTCAGGTCAGACCTAATGACAATGTGCTGCAAGCAAATCATGGCAGGTGTCATCGGAACAAAACCAGAATAAAGTAGTGCATAATCCACATCCTTCAAATACCCAAAAGTTTGGGTTCATGGACTGGAGCCCACGGTTAAAGTATGCAGTCTTTTGCACAGACACCTTTCCAGGTGTTTGGTCCAGAAGTGGACTTATCTGGAGGGACTTGGGGTCAGGAGGGAGTAGAGAGGCAAAGAACCTGGCTGCTGGGAGCGGGAATCGGAAAGGGCTCCTCCAGATGGACAGAGGGTGCTTGGTCATGGCCACTGCTTCATACTCTGTGCTTTGTCACACAGATAGAAAAAACCTTGAGCATTTTGTCTGTGAAGAATTGGGTCTCATTATCTTTATTTGGTCCGTGTTCGAATACTTGGTGGTTTCCTGTTGTGTAGATAATAAACACGGGACTATTCACGTTAAACACTGGTCTCAGATTCACTGCTTGTAATGTTTAAGGTCTCTTCCAGGCTACTCTTTTTCCTCAGTCACCTGTCTATAGAAAGGATGCAAGGTAGTCTGTTTCTGAGGTCTGCCACAGGATTAAAATGACCTTCCTTTGCAAAGTAGGAGATGGACAGATGAAGAAAACAAAATGTTAGTTTTGTAAAGAGGAAAATGTGAGGTAAAGCCCCCAAACCGACTGGGGTTTCTTGGTAGACGCTGGATCAGAATTTCATTTAAAACTTTACTTAAAGGAAGCGTGGAAAGGTAATATGCAGGGACAATCAGGTTACTTCTGTGGCCACAAATCGGAGACTGCAGATATAGTTAGTGTGTAGATGGCTTCTTGGAAAGCAAGTTCGGAGGAAGCATGCGACCTCTGGAACTGTGCTGGAGGACTGAGGAGTTTACCCTAAGGATAGTGGCTCCAGCATTACTTGATAGGCTTAACTTTTGTAGCTAGTGTGAATTGTATATAAAAATTTTAAATCCAGGTTGTTGGAGAGCAAATGTGGATGTTTTGGTGCCTCAGAAAGGGAAGCTAAGATGTCTTAAATCACTCACACATTCATGTGGGAGAATCATCCAGTGTTGGGAAGGACTTACTGGTGTTTCTTTTGTTTCTTGCTGGAGTGAACAGTGGTTTGGGGGACAGAGAGAGCTGGGTGCCTGAGAGAGCGACTCAGTCTTTGAATCCATGAAGCCAGCTGCTCCTGGACAGGTGCCTGCCTGATCCTGACTATGAACTGATAGGCACATACGAGTTACCAGCTGTTTTTTTCTAAAGCAGTCAATAGATAATGGTGGAACTGGGTAACTGCTATTTAGACAGCACTGGGTCTCACAGTTCATACTCTCGTGAGGCAAACTGCAGCAATTCCTGGATTTAACTCACTTAGGCCGATTGAGAAAGACCGCTCACTTACCAGTTACACCTTTCACTTATGACAGGATGGTAATTTCCCTAATTGCAAGGTTAAAGCACACTTCTTGCAATGAGAGTTTAGATCCCTTGCCTGATTTTTGTGGCCCCTGAGTTCTAGAAAACAGCCTGGGTGTGGTGAATCGCTGGTCTTCCCCCTTGTTAGTTGCGATGGAGGCTGTGGCCACTTGGCAGCTGCTCAGCAGCATTTCCTATTGCAGAGGAAACCCTCGGGAGGCAAACAACCTCCCTGCCACTCATTCCCACGTGCGGTACAAGATCAGGAAAACCTCAGCACCGTACTGACTTGGCTTTCTGGAAGTAGATGTTGGAGAAACAAGTGTTCTGGCCTGTCTTTACAGCAGTTTTGTGTGCCCAGTCCATTCCAACTATAAAATAATTCATTTATTTTCTTGACAGCCGCAGGAAGCAGTCCATTCTGAACGGGATGGAAAAGAAGAAACACTTAGCAGCTCAGGAGGAGATCTCGCTGAAAAGACAAACGGCGACTACCCCCAAACAAAGGCAGAAGCAAGCTGTACCGCAGCTGACACGGTTGAAGGAGAACATGCTACAGAAACCAACAAAACTTCCACGTCTTTTGCAACAGCTGAAACAATAGGAAAAGTAGGTTGTAGTTCACAGCATTGTTTGCAGCATGAACCTTCTGACACCAGTTCAGCAATTCCTGGCAAATCTAGGGGAAAGGAACCAGATTTAGAAAGTGCTGTCACAGTAGGCACAATGGCTGGCGCTGCAGACTCTGAAGAACAAGCAGACCTTCTGCTGGAGGGGCAGGCGAAAGCGGAAGGGGATGAAGCGGCTGAGCCCACGGTGTTGGCCCTGCGTAGCCAGTGCAGCTCGGACAGCAGAGCAGCCTCCCCAGTTCTCCAAGAAGTGAACACGCAGGATGGGAGCGTGCAGATCGTTAGGGATCACGTAACGCACTGCCTGGTCATGTTTCAGAATTCTTTGCTGTATGAATTGGACTAACTTAATTATTTTAGGATTTCCTTCTGTTGTTTGATGCTTACCGTGACTTCCATGTGCTGGTTTATGACTTCAGGGATAAGAGTAGAAAACAGGTTTCGACTAAAACTGTGTTGTTTACATGTCAACTTAGAATACGGACGTTGTTAATAACTTTTGAAGTTAACAGGTCTGAGTTTTCTAATCACATGTATGGGCTCAAACAGTTTTACTTACAAGAAGGATTCTAAGTAAGTACAAGTTGAGGGTGAATCTGAGCTCATAGAAGAAAATGCATCGTTATTGTTTACATACCTTTCTTAGTCTCTTGCTACATTACAGGGAGTATTTGTATATATCCTTTTTCTAATGGCTCCCTCAGGAATGGCTGTGTTCAGTCCACCTAGAAATGAGCAGTATTCATAATTTTTCAAACCTTTCATTTTGTGATAATTGCAGGATTACACTTGCACTGTTTTTTAGCAATCAAATGAAATTTCTAATTGCATGGGGAAGTTCTAATTAGTCTCTTAGCAATAATCAACATTTATACCATGTATTCCATCCTAGTACATTACTTCAGAACACAGCATCCAAACATACCCCAGTCTGTCAACTGAACAAATTCAATTGCACAATAAAAACATCCTCTCTTGTTGTGTGTCTGCTACTAAGTATTTACAATTTGTAAAATGGATTCACTTTATCCAGATTAGATTTGCTTTTCAAAAACATTTCCCCATGAGGTTCAGCTGTTTGCTGGTCCCTCTCTCTAGAGCGTGATAACCAGAAGAATGTATCTAATAATAATAAACTTTCAGTTCCCTTTCTCACTGCTTCTGAAATAACTTCTGTTTTCTTTTGAGTTGTACAAGACACAAACGTGCTTAGGTACCTTCCAAGCCAAGCTATTCTATGATTTAAAAGAAGGTTAAATGTGACTTGTTTCACAGCTGCTCTGGAGCTACTCTTACATTTCTATGTTAAATGCGAGTGCTTGCAGTGGGGGGGTACGTGGTGTAAGCTTTACTTTTACAAGTTCAGCGGAAGCCATAAGCTGCCAAAAGCATCTGCCCTGCCCTCTACAGCAGCACACCACCAACCCAGTGAAGGAGGATGAGTGGTTTGCTGGGTTCAGTTTAACCCTGATCAGCTCTGTCATGGTCACACAGCTCCTTGTGGGAGGTAGCGAAGGGCTGAAGCATAGGCTCAGCTTTTGCAGCATCAGCCCTGCCTCTGTCAAACTACGAAAAGGTAGCAAGTACCAAAGCTGGTACAAAATCATGGTGGTTAAATTACCCCTGGGGAAAAAAAAAAAGGCATCTCATGGTGGTCAAAATAAACATCTGCATGCTACTTAAAGTATTTCACAGAACTTGGCATGCTCTCAAATGAACATTTAACCAATGTACTAGCAACCGGTGAAGTAGGTGACAAATGGCAGTAAAAGGAAAGCTTTGCTATAGGCCTGTACGTTCGTAAGTAACTGTTGTAGCTGGAGTCCTAAGAGCACCAACCCCATTTTCTCTAATTAAAAAAATGCTTTCCTCCCCCCCTCCCCCCCCCAATCTCTCAGCATGAAATCTACCTCTAAATATTGCATGTCTGTCACCTTAGCATAGTGTTTTATTTCTTTAGCGTACCTCTCTGTTCTACAAAAAACTGCTTAGGTGCAACTGCTACCGGTTGTGCTTCAGAGTGGAGTGTCATTACAGCTGCCGTCCGTTTAGACTTAAAACTGGCGAGGAAGCATTTGATGTTAATGAAGGGCTCTGCTATCTCCCATTCATGGCTTTCAGCTCCAGTTCAGCGTGTTTCCATTACACAGCACTATTTTTTTTTACTGGTCACTTTACACAGCTGACTAATTTGAAAGCAAACTTTTTTTTGATCCAAACAAAAGAGGTGTCTTGCCATGCATTTGTTACTCTGTTCTGCCTCAATTAGTGTGTATCATTAAAAATTTAATGAAGTTAAATGCACACTACTAGAACGGGTGACGGCATGTGTTCAGCCCTCTGGATTAAAGGCACGTGTCCCCCCCCCGCCCCGCCCCGGTCCTGACTTTCTAGTAACACAAGATGACATCATCTTTTTGTGAGAATCAAGAACTTCACTGGTATTACAAAACAACTGAATTTTATTTTGGCAGAACTAAAAAAATTGTATATTTATCTACATTGTAGTAAAAACAATGATTTTTAGATTTTTTTTTTTCCTTCATATATTCATCAACACATTGCAACCAAACCGCAGGTATCAGGCATGAGGTGACCCCAGGGGGTGGGGGGTGCCAGTACCGCTGCAGAGGCAGCATGCGGAGCCCGGCTCCCACTGGGGCCGGAGCTCGGGAGGGCTCGGTTCCCCTCACTGGCTCCTCACCACCCCCAGCGCGGTGCATGGGCACCACCGCTCTGCCCCTGATGGGGGAAAGACCCCACAGCAGACCACTATAAGCACCAGAAAAGATTAAATACAAGTTTTTTCTTCCTCCCAGTAAACGTGGCAGTGGTCACTTTTTGCAGCGGGCCTGCCATGCTGCTCTGAGCAGCCCGGCGGCAGCAAGTAGCCCATTTCCAGAACATGGTTGCCGAACATGAAAGATTACTATTTTGGGACACCTTTTACAAGAATGTTTATTCATATTAAAGCAGAAACCAACTCATAAATGCTTTTTATACACGTGTGTGCCTGTAAAAGACAGTATGGAACAACTCAAAAAGAAAAAGGCTGCGAGAACGATCCTCACTGAAGTCTGCGGTAACTCTTACAGAGTTCGTGGTCCCTAATATCTCCCCACCCTCCGTTTTTCACATGAGGGGAAAGGGGTGCCATAGAGTACCTTTTACTGACACTCATCGTTTCGGGAAACAGGTACTGTTGGTTGCTGTTCAAGAGAGAGTCGATTTTGGCACTCTGGCTGGACGGTCTGCAGGATTTCTTGTGGTGCATGCCACAGTCCCCTGTGTGAAAAATCCTGGGGATTTCGGGAACCAGCACTTTCCAGAACTTTGGAAGACAAGAGACAGTCAAGTGCTGCAGAGTCCAGTCCCAGTTGTAGTCATCATAGGTACAGAAGGCATCCGTGCACTCGATGAGCTTCTGGTAGGTGTCTCTGCCAAAGGCCATGCCCATGTTGTGTTCAGTGGACTTCCACGTCTTCATCTCCACCTTGTCGGCGCGGCCCGCGAAGCCGCCACGGACGGGGCTGTAGGTGCCCAGGGAGACGATCTGGCACTCGGGGCACTCCCGCTCACGCAGGGCCCAGAGCTTTTTGAGGACGTGGTAGAAGTCAGGCGCCAGGTAGTGGTCCTCCTCCAGGAAAAGGACGGGCCCGGTGTGCTCCCGCAGCGCCCGTACCCGCTCCCAGACGAAATGCAGCTTCCACCACCAGTGGTGCTTGGTTTGGGAGAAGCGAGCTTCACGGTAGTGCCCGAAGGAGTCGGGGTACTCGGCGTTGATGCAGCCCAGGCGCAGGGCCGCTGCCTTGCCCACGTCGCGGGGACAGTCACGTGGGTCGTGGCCGGGGAACTCGCGGGGGTAGAGCTGGATGCTGAAGGGGAAGAAGACCTGCAGGACGGGGCAGAAGTCCACGCGTGCCGCCAGCCGGTTGAGCTCCTCGGCCCACAGGTCGTGG